ATTCAAGCCCCTGGCCTTACGAGGTTCTTTCAGCTGAGGGTGACTCCCTCATTTGGAACAGGTTATGCACAGTTCGGCTCCCCTTTATTCATACAATAATGATAACAACATTGGTTAGAACATTTCACTACCCCTGCATTCAGTACTGAAGTGATTTGTAACACAACACCAGCCAAAGTTGATTACTTTGAGAAACACTGCTCTATCTGCTGGATATCTAAGCAGAGTAACGTGTTCATGTAAATACAGTTTGCTCCTGAAGTCTCTCCCCCTCCCAGCTAGCTGTCAGGGGAGCATTCATTCAGACCCTGCTTATAATACCAATAGGCAACTGTAAACTCATGCAAAGTATAAGCAAAACACTAACTAGTATGAAGCTAAAAGTTACAGAAGTTTGATTTGAAAATTTATGCAAAGATTATCTGATATTCTTTGGTCTAGAAATCAGGATAGAAATCTCACAAGTACAAGTATTGCCACAAAATTATCCAGTTTTGATTTTTGTTTTTTTAGTATTTCTGCTTTCAGTCCTGGAAAAACAGAAGAGTAAAGACCCAGTTCTCCAAACACTCACTCATTTGTGTGATCCTTATTCATTGTCCTTATATGCTTATTTTCTCACGTGAATAAGAGCTTTCAGGTTTGGGCCCTAATATTGCAAGTACTGTCATGCCCAAGTATTTAAAAATCATGAGTCAGGCCCAAAAATCAACACTGGCTTAAAAATAATGAGATTTTAAAAAACTGTAAATGTGGGTGTTCTTTACATTTGTCTTCTGCTTTCTGAGCTTTTTACGTTGCACTTCAGTTGCATTTTCAAGCTTTTCCCCAAAGTTTGACAGCTAGAAACTTTTCTTTAATAAAAGTTGAAATTTTCACCTAATCAAATGCGTCTAGGAGCTGGGGCTTTAAGAAACCAATTATCTCAAAAAGAAAAGGAGTACTTGTGGCACCTTAGAGACTAACCAATTGGTTAAATTGGTTAGTCTCTAAGGTGCCACAAGTACTCCTTTTCTTTTTGTGAACACAGACTAACACGGCTGTTACTCTGAAACCTGTCATTATGCAAGGCACTGCATTTAGCCGTATGGAGTGGAAATCTAGCAACTGCATGAAATAAATTGGTTAGTCTCTAAGATGCCACAAATACTCCTTTTCTTTTTGCGAATACAGACTAACATGGCTGTTACTCTGAAACCTGTCATTATGCAAGGCACTGCATTTAGCCGTATGGAGTGGAAATCTACCAACTGCATGAAATAAATTGGTTAGTCTCTAAGGTACCACAAGTACTCCTTTTCTTTTTGCGAATACAGACTAACACGGCTGTTACTCTGAAACCTGTCAATTATCTCAAGACTTCTAATAAAATTGTGAGAGTTGGCAACTGCACAGAAGTATCAGTTGAACCTTCTGAAAAGAAAAAAAAAGGTGCAGTGTGTGCAGATGAAGATTACTTTTTATTTTTTTCAAACTGAGATCCATACAAATAACAGACTGGAGGCCACATCCAACATCAGTTGAATCAATGGAAAGATACTTCAGTATCCCTCTATTTTATCCTGCATGCTTGTTACCCCTTTTCACCCAAACAATTAACTAATATTCAGAGTCTTATGGGTTATTTCTGTTAGAAGGAGAAACTGATGATGGAGTCAGGCATTTTTTTTCATATTTCAATCTAGTGAAATCAGAAATGAAGATGCAAGTTCTCTTTCATGTGCTTTGGATCTGGCAGTGATTGTTTGTTATGTTTTGGACATCACTGCATTATGTCAACTCAGAAGAGGTACTGATGATAGGATTTATTATGGAGAACCTTAGACTTCTAAATCCATAGAATATAGATGAGGTAGAATATTGCAATCTGTAGTTACTTAAATTCTTTCTGAGACGATGCGAGACAAATAGGAAACTGGGAAAGGACAACATTCATTTCTTTATCCAGGTACCCATGTATCCACTTTAAAAGGATATAAGTGTCATCTGTCAGACAAATGGGTCTATTGATTATTATGGTTAATACCTTAGATTATCTAGAGTTAAAGACATCTGACACTTAGTTGGTTTGTATAGTCTCATGTACAGTAAAAGCTTTTTTATCTGGCATGTTTGGGGATTGGGGGGTGCCAATAAGTGAAAAATTCTGGTTAACTAAGAGGGAGGGAGTTTGGGTGTGGGAGGGGGCTTGGGGCAGGGAGTTGGGAAGCAGAAAGGTTTTTGGGGTGCTAGATTCAGGCGGCGCTCACCTCGGGGGACTCCCCGCAAGTGGTGACCTGTCCTTGCTGCTCCTAGGTGGAGGCACGGCTAGGCTGTTCTGAGTGCTGCCCCCACTGCGCCCCAAGCACTGGCTTTGGGAACTACAGCCAATGGGAGCTCTGGGGGCGGCACCTGAGGGAGGAAGCAGTGCGCTGAGCTACCTAACCGCGCCTCCGCCTAGGAGCAGCAGGGACATGTCGCTGCTTCCAGGTAGCCACGCAGAGCCAGTAGGGAGCCTGCTGGCCCCACACCAACCGGACTATAAATCAGACTTTCTATGAAGATTAGAAATCCTGGGTTATAGAGCTTGCTGTTTGGTACAGGGCCCAATAACACAGCTTTCACTGTATATGAATGTATTTGCTTTATTATAAATATTATTTCTGCTTATTTTCATATATATCTGCTATGGATTTGAAGGTTAGCATAAAATAATGTATAATCAAATTATAGCTTTTCATTCCCCCTAGTTTTGTGATTATAGTTACAATAGATTGTAATGGGATTATATTACTACTAATAAATAATAGTGATAACAGTAATACTCAAAGCCCCCACTTAGAATCAGAGCCCCACTGTGCAGAGAGCTATACAAAAATAAAATAAAAGGGAAAACAACAGAGAAAACGGATGACAAACAGGAGAGTTTGAGAGACAGGTAATCTAACAGGAATCCACCTTCAACAACATGCTACATTTTTATAATCTGACAAAGGGAGAATGGATTGACCATTTATTTGTCCCAGGAAATTTATATGCAAACTGAGGCCCTCAGCCTGTAAACACATAATGGAAAACTACCACTAACTGGCAACCTAGTTGGCAGTTCACCGCAGGGAACAAATACTGAGTGGATATGGAAAGTAAAACACTCTCTCACACAACGCACAGTCAACCTGTGGAATTTGTTGCCAGAGGATGTTGTGAATGCAAAAACTATAACTGGGTTCAAAAATGAATTAGATTCACGGAGGTCCATCACAGGCTATTAGCCAAAATGGTCAAGGATGCCACCCCATACTCTGGGTGTCCCTAGCCTCTGACTGCCAGAAGCTGAGAGTGGATGACAGGGGTGGATCACTTGATAATTATCTTGTTGTGTTCATTCCCTCTGAAGCACTTGGCATTGGCCAAGTTTGGAGGGCAGGACACTGGGCTAAATGGACCATTGGTCTGACCCAGTATGTATTAGAGTTAGTAGCATTACCCCAGTAGTATTACCCCTAGTGACCTCTCCAAATCAGATTTGAGGCAAATTAGTGGAGCAGAGCTGTTGCTTTACCTGTACTTACCAATTGCCTTACCCTCTACTCAGGGGTGCTGGAACAATTTGTATAATGGGGGTGCTGAGAGCCATTGAAACAAACTGTAAACCCTGTATATAATGGAAACCACTTCAAACCGGGGGTATGGTAGCACCCCCAGCACCAATGCCTTTACTTATTCTATGGAGGGAGGATTCCAACCTCCATAATTGTCTTCCATTATCACTAAAATTCAAGATTCTGTGGCCCTTCTCTTACCTCAAAGGGCGGACCCATTCACTGCTCTGGTGAGCTGCACCCACAACTCCAAGATTTAAATAGGCCTCCAAAAATAGCCTGTATCTGTATTCAGCCCTTCATTTTATCAGCTTCAAAAAATGTGTGAATAGTCAATTTATTTTAAGTGAAGCCTAGTTGACTCTTTTTAAAGGAGAGGTCCTATTCAGATTAAAAGGGGAAATCTAGCTCCTGGCACTCAGGCCATGGAGGATTTCCTACCAGCGGCATGTTGAGGTGGCAAGATTCCAGGGGGAACACAGTGTACTTAGTCCTCACATACAGCACAAAGCTCAGTTCCTTGGGGACCTTTGTACACCAATACAGGAGGGAACAGGGTGACAGGATAACTGCTTCCTGGATCTTCCCATCCTTCCCCTCCTAGAGATGGCCCATATTGCAGCTACAGAGTCACACTGTGTCCACAGCCTCAGGACTTCAGTAGTAATGGCCCTTAAATGACTCCCAGAGTGCCCTGAGCGGGAGAACAGTACACCTTTCTGGACTCAACTGTGTGCCGATCCCCAGAATTTGAGCCTAATTGAATTTCCCACAGGATTATGTAGAGGGCATTTCAGGCTGTTTCACCCATTTGTAATAAAACCCATCTTTTGTAATGTGCCTGAAGAATAACTGTAAATTGAGAGTAAGAAAAAACAGAGGGATTAAATGCTTGGGTAACACAGAAATATGATATGAAACTGAAAACAGAGAAAACATTTTATAAAAGCAGCCTGAAGCCTTCACTTTTTCAGTCCCAGACAACATTGACCTAGGGCTGAAACACTTTATCAGTTAGAAAAGGAGTACTTGTGGCACCTTAGAGACTAACCAATTTATTTGAGCATGAGCTTTCGTGAGCTACAGCTCACTTCATCTCATGCTCAAATAAATTGGTTAGTCTCTAAGGTGCCACAAGTACTCCTTTTCTTTTTGCAAATACAGACTAACACGGCTGTTCCTCTGAAATTTATCAGTTAGGAAAGGTTTGATGTTCCATTTGAAAAATCTAATGCTTTTAGATATTTTGTTTAAACTAAGCATGTCAAAACCAATACTCTTTCAGCTATGCAAAAATCCAGCAAACTAGAGGAGTTTACTGTATAATGCTAATAAATTATTTGCAGGGCTAGCGACAGAAGCAAAGCAGCACGGACGTGTTGCTCAGAGAAACCTGCTTCTCCTTTCACAACCCTCCCCTCGGGTGCGAAGTGTTATTAGGATGGGGCTCTGTAAAAATAATCATACAGAATAACAACACCGTCATGGTGTGTTTCCTGTCTTTGTGTGGCTACATGCTCCGTTCACTGCCCAGGCTATGTATTCCTGCCCGAGGCAGAGGTATCACGAGAGAAGCCTGTGTAATCAAAAGCTTTTTGCCAGTCCCTTTACATTTCAGCACGTAACGAGCACGAGGATCCGCAGCGAGTTACCACCTAGCAGCCGGGCTGGAAGGCAACCCCGGGACGCGCCAAAGGCAGCCCGCACGTTCCGCACATCCCCAGCGAGGCGGCCAGCGGACAATGGCGGGAACCCGGCCGGGCTGCAGGTAGGCAGCGGCCCGGAGGGCGGGGCGGCGGGACCGGAGAGTGCAGGACGTGCCGCCGCCGCCGCCGCCCCCTGCGGCGCTCGCAAAACCTACTGAGGCCCGGGAAGCCGAACAAAGAGCGCGGCGTTTGCCCTTTGTGTCCCCCAGGAGGCAGCTGGAAGCAGCATGATTCACCCGGGTCAGCCGGGGGTGAGGCTGCCCTCTTCCCCGGGGCCTCCCCCCGGCCCGGCCCCGGCCCCGCGGGGCGCTGCACAGCAGCACGTTCCCCCGCCGCCCGGCCCCCGCGCTTCCGTCCAGCGCCGGCTCCCAGCCGCTGTCGGAGGAAGAATGTGTCACCCGGCGGCCTCTGACGCCAGCCCGTGTCCTGCCGCCGCCGCCGCTGACGCAGAGCCCGACACACAACATCCACCTGGCCTCGGCCACCGCCTCCCTCGCTGCCGGGCGGGTGCCTGGCCCTCAGCGCATAATCCGAGGGCGGGGGAGCAGCAGCAGCGCGGAGGGGATCGGGCCCCCCCCCCGATCCTGCAGCCCGCCCCCTTGGGGAGAGTCACTGGCCCCAGCGGTGGTGGGAGTGCGGAGCAAAGGGGGGCAATTGCACCAGGGGCCCTAAAAGCAGCCCCCCGACACCCCTCCAAAAAACGCCTGTAACCTCCGTGTAAATCAGTGAGTCTCGGACTTGTTGTCGTGGTGACCCCTTTCACACAGCAAGCCTCTGAGTGCGGCCCCCCTCCCCTGAAAATTAAAAACACCTTTTTTATACATTTACCTCCATTATACATGCTGGATGCAAAGCGGGGTTTGGGAGGGAGGCTGACAGCTCGTGCCCCCCATTTAATAACCTCCCTACCCTCTGAGGGGGTCCCAACCCCCAGTTTGAGATCCCCTGGTGTAAATAAAGTGAAATGGGAGAGGGTTGGCTCCAGTAAACATGGCTGCAGATTGCTCTGTCTGGGCCCATAACCTATACACCTAACTAACAAGAACACAGTACACCAGCCAGCTGCCCCAAACAATCATAAGGGATCATTAATGACCCCAGCTACTCCCAACTAGTTAGCAGTTCATTGTGAAGCACAATGGGCTAGATTCTGCACTGCGTAAATCTCGTGTAAATCTGAAGTGATTTGGGGTTACTTAGGTTTTATACTGGTGTTAGGGTGGCCAAACTGCAAGTGTGAAAAATCAGGACACTTTTTTGGGGGTGGATGGGAGGGGTATAGTTGCGTATATAAGACAAAGCCCTAAATCGGGATGGTCCTGGTAATAGTGGGATGCCCAGTCACTCTAACTCAGAGGTGGGAAAACTACACCCTGCGGGCCACATCCGACCCACGGGACCGTCCTGCCCAGCCCCTGAGCTCCTGACCCGGGAGGCTAGCCCCTGGCCCCGGCCACTCCCCCGCAGCCTCAGCTCACTGGTCCGCCGGCTCAATGCTCTGGGTGGCGGAGCAGCGAGCTCCTGGGGCAGCGCAGCTGCAGAGCCCAGTCTGACCCGGTGCTCTGTGCTGCGCGGCACAGCTGCCTGTCCTGGTGCAACCGTGCCGCCAGCCACCGGTGCTCCAGGCAGCACAGTAAGGAGGCAGGGAGCAAGGAGGCAGGGGTCCTCGGGGGGGCCCTCAGGGAACAGAGGGGTTGGATGGGGCAGGAGTCCCGGGGGGGGCCATCAGGGGGTGAGAAGCACGGGGGGTCGGATAGGGGGTGGGGACCGGGACATGCCTGGCTGTTTGGGGAGGCACAGCCTCCCCTAACCGGCCCTCCATATAATATCAGAAACCCGATGTGGCCCTCAGGCCAAAAAGTTTGCCCACCCCTGCTCTAACTCATATACAGGAAAACAGAATATGACCCACTGCTAACTCCCCTCAACTCTCCTCGCATAATTAAACATTAATGACTCTGTGACATAAAATCCTTGCCCCAATCACCCCAAAATTATAATTGATAATTAATGAAGCTGTGCATAAGTCCCTAACCACCCCCAAATAATTAATATGTATTGATTAATGACACTGTAAGTCCTCAAACTTCCCCCTGACTGACTAATGACACTGTGTAAAGTTAGTCTAGAACTATTCCAATGCCAAACTAAGTACTGCAGCTTCACAGTTCTACAAAGACAACAACTATTTTATTCTCAAAATTGCTCTTGCCTGCTACAGAGGACCTGCATATTCTGGGCCAGAACCTCAACTGGTGTAAATCAGTTTAAATCCAATGGAGTTCAGTGGAACTACTCCAATTTACACCAGTCTCATACAGACTTTATTTTTGTTCTTTCTTATTTTTTTTTAAATTTAAAAATAAAATTATTTTATTTATTCCTAATTATCCTCTCACTTACAGTAGTGAAGGCCAATGGATGTACATGGATTTACTCTTGTTTACACTGGCCTAAGTTAATGGAGAATGAGACCTTGCTCTTTGTGTATGAAAACATAACTGTGAATGATGGTCACTCAGATCACTGTGTATTTTGAAGGGATGGTATGTGTAGATCTTAAAGCTTTACACACACTTGTTTGTTTATAATTTACTGTGGGCCGTCAGTTGTTTTTTGTACTGTGATAAGAAACTGCAATTGTGCAGGGGCTGCAGAAACTGCTCCAGAGCCATATACTGAATATGAAGTTAATTTTGTTCTCCAGGATATTGCTGAACTTAATTGGAAATAGCACAAATCTGACCCATCTCCAGGGGTGCTGGAACTAATGGTGTTCGGGTGAAATGGTTTCCCTCAGATGCAGGGTTTGCAGTTGTGTTCAATGGCTTTTAGCACCACCACTATAAAAATTGTTGCAGGGCCCACTGCCCATCTCAGGAGCTACACAGCCACCTCTTCTGTATATCCCAGTACTTAACTGGGGCCACAGTAACACGCATGATATTAAGCTTATCTTACAGAGAAGGGTGAAGGACTGAATTAGCCATGCCACTATTTGTGGAATCTGTTGTTCCAGAGTGTCAAGATATGTAAAATCTGATGCTCACAGCACTAAGTCATCCCTTCCAGGGATGACAATAATAAAAATAACAAACAGTGAATACAAATTCAATTACACTGACTGTCTGAAGTGGCTTTTTGACACTTGTTTGGGGCAGCAACTTGGCTTTAGGAGAGTGAGGTTAGTGCAATACCTCCCAGAAGAAGCGGGGGATAGAATTACAGTTTAATTTCCTAATGCCCTTTTCAGCAGCATTCTGAACAGATATGAGCAGAGCATAGTGAATGTCTCTTTTGCAACATGCTGCATTAATTGTGCCTCACAAAATGGCAGCTACCCCTCTAGATAGTCAGATTTCTTGGAAATTTAAAGGTGAAACCCAAAGAGAAAACAAAGTCTTAACACTTACCTACTTTGTAAATTTGAGTTAGAGTAGTCATGTGGGAACTCTGTGTTAAAAGTGGCTGAAGGTACCTGATAGGAAGGGCAACTGGCAAATTGCTCTTTTTCAATTCCTTATATCATCTACAGGTCAAACAATAGCATAATCATTTCATATCCTTAAGTAATAATGGTCATCAGCTTTAACTTCAGTGGCTTTTCCCCTTCCTAAAGTTTTATCCTGTAACTGCTGGTGATTGCAGTTCTTCATTATCTGCCCTTTTATTTCTACCAGTTCCCAGTGACTTCTTGACAAAACCTCACTTTTATCTTTCTCCGTAATTTTCTTTGAAAATCTTCTGGCCTAGGCTTTAAAGATGGATTCTTTAGTCCATGCTATACCTACTTATTTTGATATCTCTAATCTAAGTTAATTGTATCTATTATATCATGGATGGTTTGTTAAGCCCCAGTATAGCATTCTTATGGAAACTAAAGGCCCACCACCTATAAGCAACCAAACTTGTCTGTCAGACTGAACCAAACAAAGGACCCTTTGGAAATCTTAGACTTAAACATGTGGAGCAAATGCAGCTCCTGCCACTCTTCAGCAAGATCTCATTGTGGTGACAGAGTGCTTCCCTTAGAGCTAATGTGAGATGACATCACCTCTCTATACAGTCACATGCTGTGCACTCCTAGGGAGAATAGATCCCATAAATGTTTAGGAACAGACATGTTCCAAAGAGAGTTTAATCAAGCAGTAAAACCTTAGTGTGACTTTAACAACATTACTGTAATTTGTTTTCACCTTTAATATGCTTCACTTCATTCCATATGCCCTGGTTGTGCCAGGGAGAAGAAATCTCTATAATCATTATAGACTTTGTTTGTGGACAGGCTGGTGAAGTGGCTTTATAACATAATGATATGGTACAGTAAGTATACTCTAAACAGTTAAAAGCATGCTTCCTAATAAGTGTGTGTGTGTGTGTGTATAAAGTAGATATACAGGCTAACATTTTCAAACCTGCATTAATTTAAGGTGCATTAATTTAAGCACCTAAATAAGTAGTCTGATTTTCAGAGGTGTTGCGACCGCTCAGTTCCTACAGCTCAGCAGCTATGAAAACCAGGCAACTTAAATATAGGTGCCTAAATACAAAGTTAGAGACCAGATTTTTAAAGTTATCTAGGTCCCTAAAGATGCATATAGGTACCTAGTGGGATTTTCAAAAGCATCTAAGCAAGTTAGGTGCCTAATTCCCGTTGCTTTCAAAGGGAGTTAGGCACCTAGCTTTTGAAAATACCACAAGGAGTCTATCTGACGCTTTAGACTTCTAAATACTTTTGAAAATCTGACTCTAAGTACCTCAGGTAAATTTGAACATTTTAGCCCTACTGCAGATCTTTGTCATTTTCAGCCCTATTAGCTGAAATAATTTGTTTGAGTGGCAGAAAAGTGAACAGTCACAGTTTGTGGCTTTTTTCCTACTGAAATCTTTGGAAAGCTAAACAGGCAAACCATGGGATGTCAGCCTTTTTCCAGTGATTTATATGTCAAATTTGTAGGGCGTTGAGAAGCCACACAAAGGTCTTGAAGCTGCAGAATGAAGTAAATAGCATGATGTAATATATTTAGCAAATGATAATATAAACTATGGATAAACATACGGAGAGGGTTGAAAAATGCATTCCTTGGCTGAAATTAGTGGAGATTTAGAGCCAAGTTGAGGAGATGGGGGTGGCAATTTCCTTGGCTTCCTTATAACAAACAAATCATTACCTCTTTGAAGACAGCACAATATCTATAACACTTTTGGACTGGTAAAGTCTCACATCAGTCTTGAAAAAGTAAAATTCATCAATATGCCTTCTCCCCTTTCCCCAGGAATCATATGAAGGCTGACAGAAAGGTGGCACCCCTTCTTCTCAGAACCCACCCACATATGTCTATACTACCTGGCACTCTTACTTCCCCTGACCTGACAAGGACTCCCATGCAAGACTAGCACCCACCTGACATCCTCCACTGCACTCAGCACCCTCCTTCCCACCCAGCCAGTCCATTCCCTCAGGCAACATCCCTCTCAACCAGGGCCTTCAAACTGCACACACCCTTACTGTCTTTGTGGAAGAGGCTCCTCCTCCTTCTCTTTGGTGGGCTGCCAAATGCTCCCCTTCTCCATTAGACCTACAGGGCAGATGGCTGCCTGGTAACAGCCATCCCCTTCCTGTCTACAATCTCTAATGGGTATGAACCTCTCCCCTTTTCATCCCTTGTGCAGCAGAGTGTACACTCCGTGTCGTGGTAACATATAGGTTCCAGAAGCCCTTGCAACTCTATATCCAAAGCTTGGGAGTGGAAGGTCTGAATGGCTTAAAGGATTTGATAATAGGATATGGAAACTTTCATCACTGGATTGTTTTTAGCCTAGCTCACGTCAGAAGTTGTTACTGAAAGTAGATAATTTCATGATTTGTGTGAAAGGAGGTGGTGGTCTTAGTCCACTTTCTAGGAGACACATGGCCATGTCACAGACAACATTTCCACAGCTGGCACAAACTGGTATCTTGTGCCACAGATAACAATAATTGAATGGTCATGGAACTTGAACTACTCTTTGGACACTAATGAGACTTCATCCAGGAGAGGGCTGAGGCACAACTGTTGTGTGATTTAGGGTTGTTTATGCTGATATCCATGTTGTGCATACTCTGTGAATAAATATGACTTCAGCCTTGAGTACTGTCCTTCCTTCATGAGCATCAAATCCTCACCAGATTCAGTAGGAAGGAGAAATATATGTATGTACAATATATTTTAATAGAAAAAGGCATGTCTTCAGCTGACCCTGGCCCCATTAAGCTCACACAGATTGTTCAGTCTGCATCATTCCTCCTGAATCTTAAACAGAGAAGAGTAGATACATATGACATTTGTTGGCTTTATGGTACTAAAAAGACAATTTGCTATTGTTCTCTCTGAGAAGATACTAGTGATGGGCAAAGCTCCAGAGTTTTAGAGGTTTGACTTGAGTAAGGTTACATCGTTCTCTGCCTATTACTGGCCTAACTTAGGGCCCCAAACCTCTCCAGAGTTACACTCTTGACCATGAAAAGGCATTATTGTTTCAGCAAATGTGTTCATATGGGGAGTTATACCAGTATAATTATACTGGTAGTGGTAGGGATATGCCAGTGAATTTCCATGTGTAGATAAGGCCTAAGAAATCAGTAGCCCTAAGCAGGAGAGGAGATAGTGAAATTGTGAATTAATTTTTAACTTGCAGCTTTTCTGTGCCTTTATAAGAAGCAGCCTTCAAAGGGAACACGTGCACTGGTAAAGCACAACACAACACACAGACAAGCAGACTACCATCATGGTAGTTCCTCCTCTTCCATTTTGAAGGTATGGTCCATACCAGGGGTGGGCAAACTATGGCCCACGGGCCGGATCTGGCCACTCAGGGCTTTGGATCCAGCCCTGGGATTGCACCCCGTGGTGCCGCGTGCCCCGCGCTGCTCTCAGAAGCGGCCAGCACCACGTACCTGGGGCTGGGTGTGTGTGTGGGGGGAGCAGAGATCTCCGTGCATTGCCCTTGTCTCCAGGCACTGTTCCTGCAGCTCCCATTGGCTGGGAACGGGGAACTGCGGCTAATCGGAGCTTCAGGGGAAGTACCTGGAGGCATGGCAGGGGAAGTGCGCGGAGCCCTGTGCCCCCCCCCCCCCCACCCGCAGGGGCTGCGCAGGGACGTGGTGAGCAGCGCAGCGTAGGGCCAGGGCAGGCATGCAAGGAGACTGTCTTGGCCCCGGTGCGCGCCGCTGCCATCCCGGAGCCGCTTTAGGTAAGCGGCGCTGGGCTGGACTCCAACCCTCTCCTGCACCCCTCCTGCACCCTAACCCCTTGTCCTGAGCCCCCTACTGCACCCACATCCCTCCTGCACCGCAACCCCCTGCCCTGAGCCCCTTCCCACAGCCCGCACCCCTGCCCTGAGACCCCTCCTACACTCTGCACTCCTCCTGCACCCCAAACCTCTTCCCTGAGCCCCCTCATACACCTTGCACCCCTCCTCTGCCCCAATCCCTTGCCCTGAGCCCCTTCCTGCACACCGCACCCCCTCCCACACCCCAACCCCCTGCTGCGGCTCTGCATACAATTTCCCCACCCAGATGTGGCCTTCGGGCCAAAAAGTTTGCCCACCCCTGATCTATGCTCAACGTGTGCTGCTTGCACTCTGCCAAGGCAGGAAAGAATTGGGAGGAGTCATGGCTCTGCTTTTCCCCCTTGAGGGTGTATAGTGATGTTTATACTTCTCTGGCCCTTGCATTTAGAGAGCACAAGAAATGTGATTGTGACTGCCCTGGTACAGGGATGCAAGGATGAGCAAGCTTCTTTCACTCACTGCCTTGCACAATCATGGCAGGCTAGCTGTCATGTGACCCTTGGTGATTAATTTCAATGCAGGAAAATGGCTGAATGACTAAATCAGTGTTACCAACTTTTGCAGTTGTGGGAGGGGCATGGTTAGAGCTTTGGCCCTGTCCCATCAAAGTGCCAGCTAGCAGAGCTGAGCTGGGATAAAGGGTGTAGCAAGTTATGTCCTTTTTAGGACTGCAGTAAATAGCTATTTCCTTGGAGCTGGACAGGAATTGTGACACAAAGTATGTCTATACTGCAATTAAAAACCCACAGCTGGCCCTTGCCAACTAACTTGGGATAGTGAGGCTTGGGCTAAGGGGCTGTTTAATTGCGGTGAAGACATTTGGGTTTGAGCCCAGGCTCTAGGACCCTGCAAGGTGGGAGAGTCCCAGATAGGGTGACCAGATAACAAGTGTGAAAAATCGGGACACTTTTTCTTGTGGAGGGTGGATATAGTTACCTATATAAGACAAAGCCCCTAATATCAGGATGGTCCTGATAATATCAGGACGTCTGGTCACCCGAGACCCAGACCTCAGGTTGCAGTTTGAGCCTGTATGCTTACACCACAATGAAACAACCCCTTAGCCCAATTCATCTGGCATGGGCCAGCCATGGGTGTCTAATTGCAGAGTAGACATACCCTATGATTCCTTCCTTGGCCTCATCCTGGGACTGAGTAGCTATGTCAACCCCTTACTTGGGACTGAACCTTAAGGCTCAGTCTACACCTTAGTGTTTTTAAATTGTCTCAAGGGAGTGCAGGGTGGTGTGGGGGAGCGCTTCTATTTCATGTTGAATTTTGTCTTTTTGATTAACACTCTCTTCCTAACCATTATTTCAATGGTCCTTTGTAGCAGATTTTGCTGGGGTTGAGTAAGTCTGCTGTGAAAAGTGATACTTTATATGTATGTAAATATCACTTTTCACAGTAGACTTACTAGCTAGCAATAAATAAATTATAGTGACTTGGACAGGTATATGTGCATATTTATTTTTTTTAAGCTAATAAAGTATTTTAGGAAGAAGTGTGAGAGCGGCCACCAGCAAGAGTTGGTGGCTGCACTCTGAGGCCACCAAATAACTTGTCCTGAGAACCCCTGAATTAGATGCTATTTTACCTTTATGTTTTTATCTTTGAATGATGACAGTATAGAAATAGTGGTTCATGTCCCTACTATCTCCCTATTCAGAAAATAAAGACTAAACAGGGTTTGCTTTATCAGATTACCCAGACTTTGCTTACAGAGGACATACTTGTGAAACCCCTGGACACCAGGCATTAGGACAGTTCACCTCTCTGTCACCGTGGCCAATGCTTTATTTACCATTCACACCATTATTGTTTCAGGAAATGATTTCCCCCCTTCCAGTTACTGCTAGAATAGCATGGATCTTTCTGGGGAGCTCCACTGACATCTCTACCAATATTCCCTACTGTCAGCTACTAGCCCTGTAAACAACCACTCAAACCAGATGAAATTTCCCCCCATGCAAGGAGCCAGCATGAAGCCTATTAAATCTTATTTTGAAGTGATTCCAGCATGCACAGGCCTTCTGCTGGCTCTCTCAATGTGCCAAGTCATGATTTTATCAAGATCTCACCATGTTTTTCTATATCCACAGCTCCTGGAGTCTTTTTATTACATGAGAATCCCAGCTTTAATTAACAAGCTTTTCTCTGCAACTCTGAGGGACAGAAACTTTTAAGAAACTGAAACGATAAAGACTCAGAATCAGCATGCAAGTTTAAAAAAAGGCCTCAATTTATTATTTTTTATAATCTCATGGTTTTTATGCCATTCTCATGATGTTTTGGGGCCTGACTCATGACCTTTAAAAGTTTGAAACTGGGGACCACTGCCCTCTGCACAGGGGTGAATTTTACTCAGTGTGATTTCCTTCTGATTTTATTTCCTCTGAAGAGACCTCCTGGAGCTCATTGCAGTCAGCAGATTGCCACCTTATGCTATACTGCCTCCTCTCTCTTCCCCTGTTCATTCCCCATGTCAAGAGTGTAATCAACGATATTTACCTAGGAAGATTTCAAGTGAAAAGTTTTAGCCGGTATATTATTACAAAAGGTAATTAAGAATTAATTACTTCTCCGATACAATGGCAAACTTTATTATACTGCATGCCAGTGACAACTACAGGACTAAATGTACCTTTCAGCTGTACACGAATACAAGGCCTGTCACTCATTTTGCACCATAATTTACCACTGCTGTTATTCCACTGTTCATTTCTGTAAATCAGGATCACATGTGTTGAAAGATAAAAGCTCACTCCTAGGGGAATTCTGCGCCACTGTGCATGGGCAGAATTTATGTCCCCCGCAGATTTCTTTGCTTCTCCGCAGAAAAATGACTTTCTGATGGGGAAGCCACGAAAGTGGTCATGCAACCCTCCTCAGCAGTATGTTTCAGGTGCCATGAGCAAGTGGCAGAGAGGTAAATCACTATGGGGCAGGGGGTGGGATTGAGGAAGACCCAGCTGGGGCTCCTACCCTGCGTTGGGCTCAGCTGCTAGTCCTGGCTGGGCTGGGGGGGATGGGACTTCCTCTTTCCCTGCACGGCATCCAGGGCCAGGTGAGACCCATCCCCAGATTTCTCCCCCAGCTTCAGGAAGGTCTGCAAACTCCCCCCTTCCCCACTTCTTGCACCCATCACTCCTCAGCTGCAGGGGGAAGGATCCATGTGCAGGAAGCTGCTCTCCCATCTGCCCAACCCCATGCATCCAGACACCCTCATACTCAGACCCTCCTGCCAAGCCTCACCACTCTGTACTCAGAACCCCACCACCACATGAGCCACACTTTCCCTGCACCTGGAGCACCCTGACAAGCCACCTGAACCTGGATTCCCACCCCACCAAGCCCCAACCAGCTGCACCTGGATCCCCACCCAACTGAGCCCCACTCCTCCAGCATCTGGACCCCTCACTGAGCCTCCCAAACATAGACTACCCTGCCAAGCTTTATCCCCCCAACACCCAAACCCTCTCCCGTTGAGCCCCAACCACCTTCATGTGGACTCCCCCGCAGAGCCCCATTACCGTTGCACCCAGACCCGCCCCCACCACAAGTCCCTGTGCAACCAGATCCCCCACTGAGCCACCTGCACCCAGACTAGCCGACACAGAGCCCTCTCAACCCGCACCCGATACTAAGCTCCTGCACACTTGCATCCTGCCTTGCTGAGCCTGCCTGCCCACACCTTGTGCACCTGGCACGGAGGGGCAGGGCCCTGGGGTGTTTCTGGGGCAGGCCTGGTCCTTGTGCTGTATCAGGGTTGGGTGTGGCCTCACCGCTGAGTGTATGTCCCAGCTGTGGGGGGGCACAGTGATCTCCCACCTCTGTGCAGCCAGTGGACTGTGCTCTCCACTGCCATGCTGGAGCCTCCACATTTATTTGACAAATACAATTTGCAGAATTTTGCAGAATTTTAAAATACTGTGCAGAGAATTTTTTTTTTTTGTCGCAGAATTTTAAATTTTTTGGTGCAGCATGCGCTCAGGAGTAAAAGCTTCATCTGTGTTATAAGTGTTCATCTAATGTCACACGCTGCTATTTCATGCTATGCTTCCTTCTTTGCAGACAGCAAAATCTAGAGCAACTTGACAAACCTAAAAAACCTGAAACTGGCTTAGAAATTGTATACAAAACACATGAGTGTTAAAAGTCATTATAATAAAACCCCTGAGACAAAGACAGAGAACTCCCAGACTACAAAGGACAAATTCCAGCCTACATGCACAAGGTGTGGAAAAAGTCACATCCCAAGAGATGATGCATATCCAACCTGAGGCACACACTGTAATAAATGCATAAAATATGGACATTTTGCTGTTGTTTGCCACATCAAGTCAGTTAAGGAGTTGATTCATATTGCAGACAATCAAGAGCCATTTTTTCTGGGATCTATTACTGTTGACATAGAGGTTTCCTGGAAAGTGAAACTGAATATTCATGGCAAGATTATTGACTTTAAAAATTGACTCAGTAGCTGTTGTCACAGTCATCTCCGGTCTCCTTCAACCCCTTCCAGAGCTAATGTCACCTGCCACAGCTCTGACTAGCCCTAGAGGCATTCTGCACTGCCCAGGCCAGTTCACCACAGAAACAACTTACAAAGACAAAGCTATGCATTCAGAGTCTATGTGATCAAAGGACCACAGACCAACAGCCTCTTGGCCCTGTGAGTGGCAGCCATGATGGGCCTAATGAGAAAGGTAGAAGAATTTAATAGAATATTTGGTGATATTGGACTTTTGAAAGACAATCCAGTACAAATAACATTAAGAGACAATGCAGAACCATGTAGTGTTCATTCACCACATAGGATTTCTATCCCATTACTTCATACTGAGTTAAAGAGAATGGAGCAGATTCTCTTGATTATGCCAATGTCTGAGTCAACAACATGGGTGTGTCCCAATGTTACCAGTTATAAAGAAAAATGGAAAAAAATATGAATCTGTATGAATCTTAAAAGACTTAACAAAGCAGTTGTAATAGAAAAATATTTCCCCCTACTATTGGATGACTTCCTCCCCAAAAGGAAAGGAGCTACAGTATACTCCAAGCAAGATGCCTCAAGCAGATTCTAGAAAATTCCTTTAGCCAAAAAAAGTGCTAAACTAACTACATTTATCACGCCCTTTGAGAGATTTTGCTTTTGAACATTATATTTTATCAGTGCACCTGAAATTTTCCAAAGAAAGATGACAGAATTGTTAAGGAACAGAAATGGAGCTCTCATTTTCATGGATGATATTCTGACATGAAAATTTTCAATGGAAGAATAACAAAACTCTCAACAGAGTCCTGAGCCTAATCCATCAGCTTTAGTCCAGACTAAACAAGGAAAAATGCATTTTCCGCCTACCCCAAATGGAATTTTTGGGACAGATAATAAAGATGGAATTAGTGTTAAGCCTGAGACAGTAGAAGTGTAACCCTTCTGCCAGGTGGTGCCGGCAGCAACTAGGGCCGGGTTAAATATCTAGGGGTTCCTTTCCAAAAATACAACACAGAACCATCTGAAGCCCCAATTCTGTAACCTGGGAAAATTACATGCCGCCCCTCGGTGCCCCACTCGCAAGCACAGAATCTGAGTGTAGAAAAGAAAACTTTTAATGAAAGGAGGGAAGTCACCCAGCATTAATTAGGGAAAATGCCACAAGCAGGATTAATAATCATAAAACTGTGAGCAGGACACCCATCCCAGAGTGCATGGGGCAGTGTTTTCTACCACATGTTCTTGAGTTCTACAACCAAAAGTTCATTTACTGTGCCCCTCTCTCTTCCGTCACCATACCCTACTCACAGTGGTTGTCCTTGGTCAGTGAGGACCCAGGGTTCAGAGGTGCATCTGTGTGAGTTCACCTCCCACCCAGGGAAGAAGACACCTACCTTGCTCCACCTGAACACTTGCTCCTTGCTGACCGCCGCTCCCCCGCCACTCCTGCTGGCTGCCCCCCGCCAGCTGCCCACTGCTGCTCGTAGCCCGCAGTAGACACTCATGGAGTCCTGCATTGCTCTCAACAACCTGTGAGTTTGAAGATGATGCAGATGCATATGTGGATGGTGGCTGCTGTGGATACTTACAGACCAGTGTCAGAAAAGAGTCTACACCAGCTACAAAAAAGCAACCTTGACAGACATTCAGCTTCTAAGAAACTTCTAAGATACATTGGGACAGCTGGACCAAGTACCTAAAGAACACTAAGGAAGCAACAAAAGACCATTTTGTGGCAGGTGGACAATTAAGCCAATCAAATGGACTCATGATTAAAGACAGCTGAATTGTAATTCCAGACAAAATGAGAAGAGAAATCCTAAATCTCCTCCATGAAGGACACTGAGGATTAAAAGAACAGGAGTACTTGTGGCACCTTAGAGACTAACAAATTTATTTGAGCATAAGCTTTCGTGAGCTACAGCTCACTTCATCGGATGCATGCAGTGGAAAATACAGTGGGGGGATTTTATATACACAGAGAACATGAAACAATGGGTGTTACCATACACACTGTAACAAGAGTGATCAGGTAAGGTAAGCTATTGGCAGAAGAGAAAAAAATAAATACTGTGAATGGATTAACCAGTCAGTGTGGTGGCCGGGCATCAGCAAGGACATAAAGAATAAGCATCTGCATGTGAATATTGAAGAACCAACAGACCAACACAACACAACACAAAGAACCTTTAATAACAATACCTCTACCAGACAGACCTTGGAAGAGACTAACTGCAGATTTCTGCAAATTCAGAAGACATCATTATCTGGTCATTGGTGGACTAATTTTCCAGGTATGTAGAAATAATGTACTTGAAAGACATAATATGTCACAGGGTTATCTTTTGCTTATTTCGGTATTCCAGAACAACTAGTGATGGACAATAGACTTGTGGCACCTTAGAGACTAACAAATTTATTTATTAATTTATTCACTGCAGCAAAATTTAAATCCTTCTGAACAAAATATGATTTTGGTCATATTAGCAGTAGCCCACATTTGCCTACAAGCAAATGGAGAGACAGACAGTTGTATAGATAGCCAAGAAAATCCTACAGCGGGAAGATCCATTCCTTCCTCTTCTGAGTTATAGATCAACACCAACAACAGCTAACATGGAATATATTATGTTTAAAATGTTTTCAGAATATTTTGCTGTTTTATATATATGACTAAACAGTACAGTGAAAAGGACAGTCACTTGTAATGATTGCCTGGTGCTTCTAAGTAATTTAGTCTTCTATTTGGGTAAGCAGAGTTAGAATGAGCTCTACCCTGACATCTGGTGGTGAGCTGTGGAAAAAGACTTTAGGTGCTGATCTGGTTTGCATGGGCACACCCACCCTGCCTAGCATGATGGACTGCTTGCCCAAACGGTCACTTTGGTTGCTCTGGGATCCCCAGTCTCTTTGTTATGGGGGCAGGAGTAATAAAGGGTTGTTATCCTGGTTATGTGAATCAAGGACAGTAGAACTGTACTTGGCATTTTATGTCGGAGGGACTCACCCTCAAATAAGTAGCACTCGCTAGGTAAGGGACATGGATTCCAAAACCCAGTGAATTGTGAGAGGCTGTGGATAGGTGTGGGGGGGCCCAAAATGCTACTTTGACCCCTTCTCTCTCCACTGTGTAATAACAGAGCTAATTTTAATTCCATTAGGAGTCTTGTTATATGCTGCAGAGCTGAAATCACTAAAGAGCTGAAGTTACTAAAAGCTGAGATCACTGAGAGCTGTGTTAAGTGTGCGTGTGTGCGGGGAGGGGCCTGAAGACGAGTTGGTGAGCAGACAGCAGGATGGCTAGCATGGAGAGTGGAGCGGATAGCTGGGTGGCTGGCAGAGAGGAGCAGACAGCAGGATGGCTAGCGGAGAGTAGAGAGGAGTGGAGCGGATAGCCGGGTGGCTGGTAGAGAGGAGTGGCCAGCAGGATGGCTGGCGGAGAGGTGCAGCTGACGGTGAAGACTGCAGCAGAACCCCATGGAGATGCATGGCACTCGGCCGTCGACCCGAGCAGCGGATCATGTAAGATGCCACCCATACCTCCCTCCACTTCCACCCAGGCTGGGAGGTAAACTCTGCAGATGAACTTCTGAACTCTGCGGGACTGCACTGATCAAGGACAGAAACTCTGTGTGTGTGGGGGGTGACTACTGGGTTGCTGGACTTAAGACCCTGAGGGGAAAAGAACACTGCCAAACTTACTTGGGGGTGGGTCTTTTGCTCATGGTTGGTGTTATGAATCCTGTTTGTGGTGTTTCCCCAACATAATGCCGCATTGCTTCCCTCCTTTATTAAAAGGCTTTTGCTACACTCAGACTTTGTGCTTGTGAGAGGGGAAGTATTGCCTCGTAGAAGCGCCCAGGTGGGTGGTATGTAATTGTCCCAGGTCACTGGGTGGGGGCTCGAGCCGGTTTTGCATTGTGTTATTGAAACGAAACCCCTAGATACTGAACCCGGCCCTTGTTGCTGCCAACTCTGATGGGCAGAAGGGTTACATATATGACTAAACAGCACAGTGAAAAGGACAGTCACTTGTAATGATTGCCTGGTGCTTCTTGGTCATTTAGTCTTCTATTTGGTCATAGTGCAACTCCTGATGGAAAGACAACTCAGAACTACTGTTCCAACATTGGAACAGAATCTGTCTCCAAAGTGACCAAACATGAAGAGGGTAGCCAAACTAGATGAAAAGTTTAAAAGAGCTTATGAACACTTTTACAACAGACATCACTCTGTTAGAGAATTACCAGATCTAGAACCTAGTGACCATCTTCATGTGAAATTGAATGGACAAAAGGGAGGGACAACTCCAGATGTCATAAAGAAAAAGAATTCAGCACCCAGATCATATGTGATCAAGACCAACAATGGAGAGTTCAACAGAAACTGTCAACATCTACAGTTTGTTCCTCAACTCCCCACCCCCACCCCAAACCCCAAAAAACAAACAGAGCAAACTCTGTGGATGACATATGCAGAACAAGATGATGATGACTCAAGGATTTCAAAGCAACCACAACCAGTCATTGCAGATGACCAAGTTGTTATATGGTCAAATTGTGTAATTAAAAAAAACAGTACTATTCAGAGACACTTAACAGACTCATACGGACTGAACTTCAAAGGTATTGTGATAGTGTAAATGTTGTATATGAGGGGTGGCCAACCTGAGCCTGAGAAGGAGCCTGAATTTACCAATGAACATTGCCAAAGAACCACAGTAATACGTCAACAGCCCCCCCATCAGTTCCCCCACCCCGCTCCCAGCGACTCCCGCCCACCAACAGCCCCGCCCATTAGCGTCTCCCACACCCTCCTTGCACCTCCCAATCAGCTGTTTCGTGGCGTGCAGAAGGCTCTGGGGGAGGGAGGGGGAAGAGCGAGGGCACAGCAGACTCAGGGGAGAGGGCGGGAAATGGTGGAGTGGGGACAGGGCCTGTGGCAGAGCCGGGGTTGAGCAGCGCGCCCCCCCTGGCACATTGGAAAGTTGGCACCTGTAGCTTCAGCCCCGGAGTCGGTGCCTATACAAAGAACCGCATATTAACTTCTGAAGAGCCGCATGTGGCTCCGGAGCCACAGATTGGCCACCCCTGTTGTATATGGTAGGAATGTAAAACATAAAGGAAGAGATGTAATGGAATCCTAAATTGTATTATGCTGTTTAGCCAGTAGATGGCACGGTGTATAAAATGCCTTATTTCAACCTAACAGCCATACCGAGAAGAGCATTAGAAGATCTTCTGATGAACTCATCTGGTATGTATAAGCAAGTTTTGTACAAACAAAGTTCTGGTACAGAAGTACATGACACCCTATATGTTTGTATCTGTTAAATCTCTCTGAAAATAATGGGGGAATTTCTCTAAATCTCATTCCCCGTGTCAGCTATCTGTCTAAATACACAGACCCCCCCCACCCCCACATGTAGGGCCAGAATATAATATACTTTGTTTCAGTGAAACCAAATAGCTGTCTTTTATGATGCTTATATAGTCTTTGAACTGTTCCTGTAAAAGAAAGGATACTGTTCAGACAGGAAATGCAACTGGACAATGAGGTAGTATATTTGCTAGAAATGAAAAATGGAGGGGACACACAGCATAACACACGGAGGGCAAGACTGTGATATCCTTATGCACATGAAGCATTCCCTTCATAAGTAGCCTCATTGATTTGCGGGATAAGTTACTGCTCAATGTGAGTAAGGGTACTACAGTCTGGCTTTTATTTAGTAAATACTTAACTATATAAGGCATTATAAATCACTATTCGTCTCCTTTAACTTGAAAAATCTCTCATCCTAATGGTGGACAGTAAGGTCAAGTCACCAAGCGTGTTTGATAATCCCCACTGGCAGAGTATTCTGAGTTTCAGTTTCATTGGAAATGAACCACAGCTCGCGTGCACACACAAGAGAGTTCATCAGGGTATGAGATTAGCTAACTCTAATGGTATATAATGGTATATGCTGCAGCCAGAGCTGTGAATAGCCGCTTGTGTAGACATAACCCCAATAGCTGTAGTCTAGCTAGCTCGTTAAAAATAGAAGTGAGGGTACAATGGTGTGGGCTTTAGCACTGTCTGTACAAGCAAGTACGTACTCAAAAGGATCAGACAGTCAGCACTGCGGCATCCTCACTTCTATTTCTCGTGAGCTGGCTAGAGCATAACAAGCCTGGGTATGTCTACACAAGCCATTCATACCCCTGTCTGCAATGTGGACTTACCCTAAATTAATAATAGTGTATATTGTGGTGGCCTGTATTAAGATTTCACCTGCAGATGGTTAGGCCACTTAGAATCAGAATTTATTCTTAGATATAAAAAGATTTGTGTGCTCCCAAACTACCTGAAAAGCTTAGGGGCCATGTCAAGCCACTGATTTTAAAGCAGAAATTCCCATTGAATTTATTATCTGAAAATCAATGCTATCCCATCCCATGGTCTGGCCATAGATAAGGGGGAAAGGGTAACTTAAATATAACTTTTTCAGTCTGTATTTGTGATACCCCTACTTAATGGTATTTTAGTCCTCAAGCAGACCCACTGAAATGAGCAGAACTACTTGTGGAGTAAGGTAGCACTCAGCACGAGTAACGATATCACAGTCTAGCTCTCAGTGTCTTACACAATGAGCCACTTTATCTTGACTTTTGTAAATTTTAGGAAATAGATGCCAGTATTATAAATTCAATTTGCCATCTCAATTTCTTCTTTGAACTTTATGCTAGTATAGTATCATTCCTTTTCCAGGAACAGTAAAAAGACAAATGTATGTGTCACAAATGACAGCCATTTGTTTTCATTAATATTCTCTAGTTTTAAATTCAGCTACAAATCGTGAAAAAAAATAAAATGACCCAGAAGCAATGAGTTTATTCTTTAAGGAAATTCCTTAAAGCAAAGCTACCAAATTCGCCAGGCTTTCAGCTGATTGTTAAACAGAGCACAGGCTTGAAAGAGTGCAGTGGTAAAATCACCTCATGTAATTCCCAGAGAGAGTGCTTTATTGAGGTCAAGTCTTATGAACAGGCTCTGTCCTGCACTTTACCTATGGTGACAGACTGTTCAGAAGCAGATTTTTTTATTCTTTAAACCACCATGTGCCTGCTCAGCCAGAGCACATTAAAATAAAGTAATAAACAGAATAATAGGCAGTCTGTATAAATAAATAACTCAACATATTGCTGTGCCTTTTAAAACAACAAAGAGCACCCTCCTTTTGGACTCCCTGCTAGAATTTTCTGTTGTCATTTATTAATGCTTTGCTCCTAGGGTAACCCAACTGAAAAAGAACAATAAACAAAGCACCTTCTATGCCATATGAGTATATTTATTTGTTTAAGTAAGTCTTCAGAGAGTCATGTTCAGCTGCTGGAGAAAATAGACCTGAGTCAGCACTTCCCCCCAGCTCCCTGTGCTGGCAGGAAATGAAAACTATTACAATCAGCTTGTTATACAAAATGTGTAGAATTAGTGTCAGCATTTCAGAATTGTTGTATACCAGCCTTGCATGCTTATTGATAACAGCACCAGTCATTAAACCATTCTTAAAATAATGGTTAACCAGCCTGTCACATTTTTAATCTGGGAAAACTTTACAATGTGATACACTTAAAAAAAATAAAACCTCTACCTACAGGAGACGTCTGCTTTGATTCCAAGAATTACCCACTAGTTTAACTTACGTACTTTCTTGTTAGTTGCTTTTCCTGCTGCAGTGTTCTCTGCATCTCAGGAGAGAGAAGTGAATTGATTTAATTTACCTTAGACTCAATGGTCAAATTTAGAGGTGAAGTGTAATGGGATGTAAGATCCATATCAGTAAGTGGATGCAAGTCTGGGGGAATCTAACTGAGCCCAAGCAAGTTTAAATTGATTTAATTTACATGCTTAGAGGTTTGGAAGAAGAGGTGCTACCCAAGTCTAGATTACCTTAGATCCCCTTAGGACCTGATCCAAACTTCAAGCTTAATGGGCAGAAGGCTTATCCACAGATCAGGTATAGCATGGATAACAGCTACCCCACATTTCCCTACCAATGTGCCTCATCTGTGTCCCAGAGAAAGTTGAGAGGATGGGCCAGTCTCTGTGCCAATTCTATACTTGATTCTGCTGAGATTGTCAACAAGGTTGCCGGTTACAAACAATTGTGACATTTTGTATGTGTGTGTGTGATACGAGACCGGCTGACTAGGAGCTGGCGAAGCCACCAATTCATTTCATAATATTTAAACAGTAAATTAGAGCACCTGCCATTCTTGTCAACAAGCTGAGGACGTGATTGAATGGGTGTTCACAGTCTGTACAGTGATTATCATCAGCCATAATTCTTCGGGATGTTACCTACTGAACACCACAGTCAGTTCACAGCAATGTCAAGTCATTTGCTGACCAGGTGTTCAGGTGATACTGGATGCACTCACCTGAAGTGACCCAAATGTAGTCTGTCGGACTTGCTTTATACAGTGAAAACTAATGAACTCACAGGCAGTGTGACAAAAAGGCATGCCAGCCACTGGCAAGCTGCACTGTGAGACACAAAAACTCCTTGAAGGATGATTTACAGTCAAAAGGAAAAACACTTCTGACCTTTATTTTCCCTGTCAAAGTTAGAAGTCTGTGGGAATGCTGATTTTGCTACATGATGAAAAATTAATACCAATGGAATAGAGTATTGCCACAGAAGGAGCAAATCCTCAGCTGCTGCACAAATTCTGAGGCAAAGTTGAGGAGGCGCTTGGAGGGAAATAAATACTGAGGTGAAGCTGAAACCTCTTTTTTTCAAATATATTGATGCCAAGACATTT